TATCTCTTCACTCTCTTGGGAGGCATCTTTGGTACCTTTTCAATCCTGGCAGAAGAGAAATGCCCATAATACCCATTAAAGGCTAATCCAGTGTGTGGGTTATTTTCCCTCCATTCATCATCACCATCATGACTATTATCCTAAACACTTGTAGAGCATATTTCATAGATCAAAACACATTTGAATATTTTTAACAAAACAGATGTAGGAATTGTAACTGATGCTTACTATAATAATCATAGCATTGATTAATTCAGTGCTTCTCAACTTTAATGTGCATACTCATCACCTGGAGGGCTTGTTTAAATATAGATTCTGATGAGTAAGTCTGGGGTGCGACCCAATAATTTGCGTTTCTATCAAGCTCCCAGCTGATGCCAATGCTGCTGGTCTGTGGACCACACTTAAGTCGCAGCGGAGTAACATCTGTCAAGTGCTTACTGTTTACCAAGTGCTTGTAACCATAAAACCACGTCCTAAGGAAGAACAAGTAGGAGGCAAGACACCTGTTTGAGAGATGAAGATATTATGCAGCCTGGACTAGAACCCAACCCTCCTCACTTGTAGTTTACTGTATCTTCTACTGTACTACTCTTTCGGAGTATTAGAACCTTTTCTCTACTCTGGGAAAGTGGGCCGCTATTAATTTATGATATTTTCATAATTCAACAGAATTCAGCCAAAAATATAATTTTTTTTGAATTTTATTCCTAAATATAAATCTAAAAACCAGTTTCCTTCAAAACAGACATGAATATTGTAGCCTCTAATGTACAGAAACCAAATAGCACAATTTTTCATGCTTTCATTTCTTTGCCCATCTGTTAAAACTTAATATATTTAGCTAAACTATACATTCATGGTCTAATGCATTTTATCCTTGTGGATTCTGTGACATTGAAACTCTACTCCTTGCTTTAGCAGAAAGCCTCATTTTCTATTCCTGGAGCTAGCAGCATTCCATTTGACATTTGATGCCCATGAGATTTTTATAGAATCTAGGTTATAAGATTGACTCTCTTGCCACATATTGTTGAATAGGGATCTGTGTTACATTTCCCAGAGGTGTTCTGCATTATACTTTTCTTTGAAATGGTTTTGATTATTTAAAAAGAAGCCTCCAATGGTAAAACCTTTTGCATAATAATCACCATTGACTAGAGAACTTATTTGTCTTAAAGATAATTTGTTCAGAGGAAAGAAAGCAATAGCGATCCCCTCTTCTACTCCTATCTCAAAGTGAAAGACCGTACTAATGGTACAACGATAGAGTGAAAAAAAATGTTTCCTACTGTAAACTTCAGCATAAGTGGAAGTTTCCTTATTTTTTTGAAAAGATAAACCAGTAATGTGTTTAAAATGAGTAGTACATATGACTCAATATGAAGGCTTTAGTTCAAACACAATGTACTAAAAGTTGTCTTTCTAACCGTCCTGACAAAGACATGCATTCAGTTATTTGTTCTTCTAAAATATACAAAACATAATCAACTTAGATAATTTATTGAAAATGGACTCATCTAAATCACTTTTTCCTCAGTGACAGAGGAAAATTAATGGTAAGATGTTTGGTATTTCACAAAATGATGTGTTCTAATGTAATTGTTAGTTAAGCTCTATACTTAGCACAAACTCAGAGTAGCTATAGGATACCTGCTCGGTATCTGTCTATAGATGCTGGCCAAATAGCCCTGCTTAACCTGAAATTTGATTAAATTTAGAATTAACTATCTCTGATACAGTATACATGATAAAGTATTCAAAATGCACTCATTATAATAGGACCACTTTAAATTATACGTATCTACCAATAGTAATGTGTTTTAATTCCGAAGTTTCTTCCACTGCTTAGGATAGTGACTGACACATGAGAGGTGCACAAAAAAATGCTTATAGGAGAAAAAAATCAGTGAATTAATGTTGACTAAGCCAAACGAAGATAATCTTTAAGAAAACAATTTATAACAACAAAAATAAAAATAATAATAAAAAGAATTAACCTTGGGCAAGTCTTTCCTATGTGCTAAGCACTGTGCTAAGAATAACAATAAATATTACTTTGTTTAATCTTCACAAAAATATTGCAAGATACGCAATAGTGTTTTCCCTCGGAAAACTGAGATTTTATAGAATAACCTCTCCTGATAGCACAACTAGTGAAGGTTAGCGCTCACACTCACACCCAGATCTTCGTGTCCTGAACCCCACGGCCACTGTACTCTTTGCATCTGTTGACTTTGGTTTAGAACTTGCTTGAGTGCAAAAACCAAAGAAAGTCACCTCTTTGGTACAATATAGACGTTCCTTAAAGACTCTTGACTTTAATTTTATAGCAATAAGGTAAGAGTGTTTGCTTTTACAATTAAATAAACATTTACATAATTTAAATTCTTGCCTTTTCTAAAGATACTAGATAAGATTTGAGTCTTTATTCAGTTTGTTCATTGTCACGACCACTTATCATCACCACATAATTGTCATCATCCTCAATGTTTTGAGGTGTAATACTTACTGAGTAATTACTGTGTTCTGGGCAGTGTGCTAAGTTATACACTCTACAGATTTATCTCATTCACTGCCTACTAGTCGTCAAACGTTGAATTTTTTTTATGGGCCAGGCATGATATGCCCGATGTTAAAAAAGCCATTAACATGTGAGACAATATTATAGGTGTGTTTTGAAGCAATATTATTGCTTTATAAAAGATAATATTTCCAAGAAAACTGGAAAGTAAAACATTATCTTTCTATTAGAATTTTCCTAAGAAATGATGCTGAGGAAGAGGTTTATTTGTCTTAAATTTTATAGGCTGGTTCTGTTAAGGGTATAAAATGGAGAATCACACAGTTACTTTTCAGTTTGCCAAACTGATTTTCTAATGAATCCACAGTAGATTTGACATTTGAGTTTTGCATACAAAAGCTGTTTAAAATTTATAGCTCTGTTGAGGAAGCAAAGAAAAACACAATAGCAATGCATCCTATATCACGTTGTCTTTGTTATATTACCCACATTGTTGTTTTCTTCAGGATGAATGTTATTTTCCATAAAATGTGTCTATTTACTTCCAATGCTTATATAGTCCTCAAAATACATACAATAAGTAAGTTAAGGAATCATTATACTTGGGCCAGGTATTTTTACAGTTGGTTATCGACTGCACATTGACAGAGTTTGGTCAGTTCACTAATAGTTTTCATATTTTAACACTGCTTCCATTAGGAAATCATGAGATTGATTCCAAGCCTTCTGGAGCTTTCCCCACTTGTTTCACACGGCTTTCACTGAGATGAGGGTGTTAGCAGGGCCTTAAAAATCTTCCCCTCCTCAGCTTTTATGTATTCCTTTTTCCCACTCAGAACTCCTTTTTGCTATTTTGTACCACGGACAAAATTTTTTTAAAAAATCCCAGTCAGAAGAAATTGATTATCTAGACAAGAAGATTGATTTTCATTTGTTTGCTTCTGTGTCATGATGTTTGCTATTGTTCTTTGTTTGAAATGATGTGATTTTACGGTCCATACATTATATTGTATCAAGTTGATTTAATATATCAAAAGTTGTGAAGATTGTATCACTCTATCCAGAGTCAATTAGTTGTGCATTTGAAACTGGAGCTAGTAGATATCTTTATTTTAAGCTCTCTTTAATTAGAAGTAATTTTAGGCTTCCCTAATTAGGGTTTTGTGACAATTCGCTAAGGGTCAACTGAAACTAAAATTTACATTACCAAGAATGGAATTATTCTGTAATTCAGATTTCCCAAAATCAATTATATTTTAATGAGCATTGCTGATGAGATTAGAATTTATTTTAAAAGTTTTAAAGGTGACGTTTTATAACAAGATAATAACTTTGTATCTGTTTAAAGCCAAGTGAAATCATATACTTTTACAATCCAAGTAAATGTATCTTTCCACTCACCTCACCCAACAAATTCCATTCTGGTGTTGGTGGACCAAATATTGCCACTACCATAATCTATGGAGAGAAGGAATTGATATTTAAGTTAAAGGAATAGAATGATGCTAGGAAATTGAATGATTATAAAATTCTATGTTTAAAAATTAAAGCAATATTGCTATTTTTGTTAAAGTTTATCAATAAGCTAGTATTTTCTTTTATCAGGATTTTGTGTCTATGTAAAGACTATTCACAATGCAATATTTTTTTCCAATATGTGTTGTCTTTATTAGGTGTGTATATATGTATAATAACATTTTAAAAATTCTCTTGTTTAAAAAAGAGAGCAGTGTAAGTAGTCCATACTCCTCTGGTAGGCTCAACAAATGCAAGTATGGTAAAGCAAATTTATTAAGTAATCAGATTATATTAGAATAGAAATATCAGTGCAAAGAATAATCTTCTAATTTGCTCATTTTATGGGCAGAGCTGGCCAATGGTATATATTGGTACATATATACAAAATCTAGTCAGTTGAAAGTTTCTTTCTAACATATATTTAGCCAGATTTGATTAGGAAAGGACATCAGGTTTCAGTCTCACTTGACATTACTGTCTGGAGGGTAACAAAGGGCTGTGGTGTGTAATCTTTATCCTTGTTCATTGCATTATTTCTGCTGAAATCAGTGGCTAAGATAGACTCAGGATTTTAAAAAGACCAGTCTTTGCTCCACAGCCTTCTGTGTGCTGTGTGTTTTTAAATATCTATCAACTATGTATATCATAATTACAGCTACATATGTTTTCAATATTGACTTACTAATATTAACTAATTAAAGAAAAAATTTTCAGGGTGAGATTTCCTGAGACTCATGGCTTTTAGGAGGGAGGTTGCGCAAAGAGTTTTGAAAGCTGCCTTAAGAATTTAGTGGAGCTAAGTGTACTGTGGGAGAGGGTGGTTTCTGTGAACGTCAGCGTGAAGACTGATTCACTTACTGGGAGCATGAGGGATGAGGGGTCATTGGCGAGCCTGTCCCCCGAGCTGCTCTACAATCCCTTCCATTGTAAAGGTGTCCACCCCTGTCTTGTCTTTCAGTCCTCCACAAGCAACCCAGAGAAGTGTGTCTCTGTTTGCTAGAGCTTGGCCGGATTGCAGCCAGGTAGGTCCGACGACTGCCACTGTGTCAAGACGTCGAGCATCTCAGCATCCGAGCAATTGAGAATCTTGTTGGCTTTTCATTGCTGGTGTTCAACCTGGGTGTTGAGAAGCTTCTTCTTCAAATATGATCAGTACGAACATCTCAAGAGCAGTTGTTCAAACTAAAAGCATGCCACCAATACTCTTAACATCATGATCTTGTTGTCAAAGCCACTGTGTCGAAGCATTTGCTAAATGTCCTTTAATCGAATACACTTTCCCTCCAACCCTTTCTTGGCGGGTGGGGGAGGATCTTGTACCTGAAGTTGTGTGTCACAATTACTCTTTCCTTAGTGGAAAGTCTATTCCCATTACTGTTTCTCTTTCCCAACTCCTTCACCCTTTCTCTCCCTGTTTACTTTTTAATAATTTTCAGCCTCCTCTTTTTTTCCTTTTTCCTCTTTTTTTCCCCCTCAACATCACATGCCTCAGCTCTTTTAGTTTCTACTTCTGAGTAGGGGGATAGTTTTTAAATTATTCTCTCTATTTTGATTAGAGAAAGATGTAGGATATTATCCTTCATATGTATAGACATCTTTGAAATATTTTTTCTTCTAGAAAAAAAACCGAGAAGTAATTGTAGAAACCATAATCATAGCTAAAGAAGCAGAGGGAGGGACTTGATTAGCTCAGCGAACTGGCTTTGGGTTCACGTCTTCTCCTTTGTCATCTTGCAAACCACCAAACAGGGCTTCTGACAGTTTTATGAAGCCCAAAGAATTAGAAATGAAGATATAAATGTTCGAAGAAGTCTTGATACAAAAGAAAAAAAAATTATAATTAATTAGAAGATGTTTTCTCATCCAGATCTGATTATACTTTAGGGTCAAGATCAGATGAACCAATAAGATAAAGAGAAAGCTAGCTCTGGGTGTAAATTCTCAAAGGGAAATTTATAAAGAAACTCAAAGAAAAGAAAATACAAGATACGCACATCAGCAAGTTACAGTGATGAGCAGAAAGCTTGCTCCCAATGAGGAGACTTTTTTTTGATCCGATGGAAAATTAACCTGTAATCAGAAGAAGTAACCCCAAGTTCTTTAAAACACCATAGTCAATATAATCTTAAAAAAATTGTGCATCAGGTGCGAATTTTACTATACCACAATAATTGGGTGCAAGAAAGATTGCTTAAATTAAAAAAAATTTCAAATTAAATATGACTGGGGCTCCACTCAACAAGGAGTGAAAAAATCAATCTGAGACATTGGGAGTCTTCCCTCCTCTCTTGCACGGTTCCCAGCTACTGTGTGCAGGCCTCCGGAGAGGGACCCCTAGTCTTCAGCCCACTCAGGTCTCCATTGTGCAGGCATAGTGCAAGCTTATAGCGTCTGGCTGTTTCTTAGGACTCCATTCCCCTTCAGTGCTGTCGCTTTGTTGGGTTCTGTGAGGGAGCAAGCCAAAGGTACCTGTTGCTTCTAGGACTCTGCTAAGCCACTCTTCCGCCAGTTTGGGGCTTCTGGCCTGCAGGACAAAAGCCTTGAGTCAAGGGAATACCAAGGACTCAGCAGACATCCCTTAGGAAAGGGGAAGTTAAAAATACAGTGGGGAGGAACACACAAAGGAAAATCTCAGTTAATGAACTGTGCCACTGAAACACTGGAGTAAAAGAAACAGGATGGTCTTGAGTTTCTACCTAATAGAGCGTTTGGCAGAAAACTTTTTGTTTAGTGTTTGTTTTAATCATATGGTTAGAGTAATCTAAAAAGGCCAGATTCCATTTTGTTGCTTTAATAATCTAAATATATGAATCAAATAAGTATCATGATTCTGAAAGTTGTGTGATAGAGGCAAAGAGAAAGAGTTGCACTATCTATAGAATTAGCTGGGAGTTGTCATTTTCCTCTTGCTTAGTTTATATTATTTGTCTCTTTTCTGGATTTATTTTATTTTTTGTAATTATATTTTTTATTACCTGAAGACTCTGATTAGGAATCCTGCTAAACTAAACATTTTAACTATGACCAAGTAATCAAAGGAGAGGACATGCTACCCAATGACAGAATCCCTTTAGAGATCACTTTTCCTCCAGTTCTGAGCCTGCCATATGCCCCTCACCATAGTATAGAAAACAAATTAAAATCTTGGTTAACGAAAGGGACTCATAATCACCCGGTCGATTTCAAGGTGAAGCATCATATGAAGAGTTCTGCATTTTGGTTTGGTTTTTCCCCAAATATTTAAAAATTGAGATTCTAGGTTACTCTATTTCTTTTTTTAAAAAAACCACTTTATTGAGGCATGATGGCCATACAAAAAGCTGTATATATTTGACATATACAACTTGATGAGTTTGGAGATAAGTATACATCTGTGAAACCATCATCACTATCTATGCTATAAACATATCCATCACCTCCAAAAGTTTCCTCCTACTCTATTATTGTTATTATTATTTATGATAAGAATGGGTTGCTCCTTTTTTTTTTCTTTTTTTGTGGGGCAGATTAGCCCTGAGCTAACATCCGTTGCCAATCTTCCTCTTTTTGCTGAGAAAGATTAGCCCTGGGCTAATATCCGTGCCCATCTTCGTCTACTTTATATGGGATGCCACCGCAGCATGGCTTGACCAGTGGTGCTTCGGTCTGTGCCAGGGATCCAAACCTGTGAACCCCGGGGCCGCTGCAGCAGAGTGCGTGAACTTAACTGCTATGCCACCAGTCCAGCCCAGGGGTTGTTCCATTTTTGACCACACTTATGACCATCCAAGCTGATGAAAGCAGTGATTATTCACTTTACAAAAAAAATTACTAATTTCATAAAAGAGTTATCTAAGGACTAAGATAACCCTTACATTACAATACTCAATTTGTAAATTTTGCTTTTTATTTTCTTTACCTCCTTGAGTGGTTTGAAGAATTGCACACTTACACTGAAAAAGAATATGCTCAGAGATTCTTCAGGGTGCTGCTTTTGTTATTGTGTGCAGCATAAGGTTAAACAGTTGAATACCCATTGGATAGATTGAACATTTAAGGATAAATGTCCATTGAAGTTTCTCTTGGTATATATTTGAAGATTTTTTATTTGGTGGAAGTTCAATTGTGCTTTACAAACAGCAATCCCATCAACCCAAGTCGCACTACCTTAGCCGTATGTTGAAGCATATTAGTTAAAGGAAAAAAGGGAATTCATTCCCCCAATCTAATTTTACTCCTAAATTTTTCTTTAGATATATTAAACATATTCAGATCCTTACTTGGTGCTTCCTCCCTGCCCCCAATCCTCCATGGAGGATTATGTAAATTATTAAGTCAGCTTTAGCCCCCCAAAACTAGAAGTGATTTTGGGAGAGCTCTCAAGGATCACATTAATTTGCACACACGAGAGATGAGTTTTGACCATAACAGTATAATGTGTCCCCAGTACAATCTTGGGAGTTTTGTGGGGTTTTTCTTTTTTTATATCACTGATAGATGATGTTTTTTTATATTTGATTCTAAACATTTACTTCTCAAAATTACATAAATGTCATCTTAAAAGCATCAACATCACTTTGGAAACGATTCACAAAATGTTTCTGATTCTCTGCCATGTTCTCCTGTCTGGGAGCCCTTGCTGCAGCTCCTCTGAGAGCTGTGGGCTTTTCTGAGTTCTGAGACGGGAGAACGAGACCACTCATTTTTGTTCTTGTGGTTTTTTTTATTTTCAACTAAATAGAGCTATCACTGCTGGAGAGGGAAATCCCTCTGTTAGTATTTCAGGAGCCATGTCAGTTTCTGAAGGTAAAATATGCCCGTTTGCCTTCTGAGAGGTAAAATACTCAGCAAAAGCAGATCCGTAAAACCTCAAAGATCTTGTTAATGACAGGGCATTGATAGTATTGCTGAAAAAAAGGTACTCTGAAGTCAACCTTTTTACAAACTGCAGAATTAAGATTAGCTTTATGGTAAAAGTAAAAAACCTTTGATATTTTGGTTTGGGGCCATAATCAGTAATCAACATCATAGTGGGGCTTTTTTGTATTTTTATTTTTGAGTACTTACTTGATTTTGAACAAAATTTGTGACCATTCAAAAGAAATATACCTTGTGAATATTTTCATTAATCTCCTATTCAATGACCTAATGAAAATGTTACTTAAAAGAAAAGTATTCTTGGGGCCGCCCGGTGGCACAAGTGCGCGTGCTCCGCTTTGGTTGCCGCTGGTTCGCAGGTTCGGATCGCGGCACACATGGATGCAGCACTTGTCAGGCCATGCTGTGGCGGCGTCCCATATAAAGTGGAGGAAGATGGGCACAGATGTTAGCTCAGGGCCAATCTTCCTCAGTAAAAAAAAAAAAAAAAAAAAAAAACAGGAGGATTGGCATCAGATGTTAGCTCAGGGCTGCTCTTCCTCGCCAAAAAAAAAAAAGTATTCTTATATGAGGCTTATTAAGTAACTCATCCTATTTAAAGCACTTGACTCTGACTGCTAAGAATATCACGTTTTCACATGGGTGAAATTTCTTTCCAGATCTAAATCTATCTTTAAGTTACTTTAAAACAGAATAAAAATGGGGCAAAAACTATCTTGCAAGAATCTATAAACTATCTGTTACATACCTTAGAAAGGGAGCGTTTCTAAAACTTGTCCCTCTAACTCTAGTAAGATAGGCCCCAGATGTCTTTTGTTTGAAAACTATAATCTACTAAATAGTTTGAGTAAATTTTATAGTTCAGGGCTCAGTTTGGGGACTCAATTATTTCATCTAGACCAATCTCAAAAGTTGTGTCACGTGTCAGGAAAATGAGAAGTCCATTCCTAGAATCTCATTGTAAAGTCATTAACCACAAGATCCTTTCTCTAGCACTTTGCTTTTTTTTTTTAATGAGACAAAAAAAACCCCAAACCTTCCCTTTCAATGCCCACCTTCCTTTCCTATCACTGGGGTGGACAGATGTGAGGGTTTGGTTTGAGGGGATTCCACCCTCTTACTCTCTTTACTTTGACCCTTATTCAGTTTGAAAGCAGCAGTTTCCTCCTTTCCCCCAAAGCTCTAAAATCTTGCAGTAGTTGGAAAGGAGTAGAAAACAGTATAAATTTGTGAAAACCTCATAGACAAAATAGAACTGTGAAGTGGTATAGCGTTAATCATGGAAACCAGAATGAAGCGGCCTTTTGGAGAGCAGAAAAAAGGCTGATTTGATGACTAAGTTGGCTTGCAGGTGCAGGCTCCCCACACAGGGGAATGCCATGATTTACAGCCTGTTGACATCTCCAGACAGACAGGAAGCCCATGAATCGTATTTAAGTGTGCATTTCGGGACTGGCTGACTGGACCTTAGGCAGCTTGAAGTATTCAAAAGCCAATGTAAGCAGAGATTTGGGGCTTAGTGTTGATTTTCTGTGTTCAGTGGCATAGGTAATTTTCAGCATTCCCAGTTAAAGAAAAATCTCCAAGGCAAGGTTTCCCATGCATGACTTTTTTACCAACTTCATTCAAATTACTCTACTTTGTATCGCTCAGGGAGTGGAGCCTGTTGTTACTCTAATAACATATTTCTTATTATTTCACTTTGTAAAAAAAAGAAAAGAAGAAATTATGCAACCCGTTCCCGAAAGGTGGCAGGAATCCATCTATAATTACAAATGAAGTCATATTTTCCAACTGACCCAATTTATACTTTCAAATATGATGTTTTTACTTATGATTGACTTTTAATTGGCTGTGAATTCTAGTGTGTTAAATTCCTCTAGCTTCACTGCCCAGTTTCTGTTATTCTCTGAAGAACATAACAAAATTTTATACCTTGATTGTACTAGGAATTCAAAGACGTCTATAGAGATCGAAAAGGGTTGCCTGCTGCCGTTCCTCAAACGAGTTAGTAGCAGGGCTGAATGGATAGCTTGTTCTGCTGTTACTCTAGCACGGAGATCTTTCTACTCTTCCAGAGTTCTGGGAAAATCAATTTAAAGAAAGCCATAGTAAATTCTTTTGTAAAGAATCAAAACATATAGTAATAATATAAACAACAGTAATCATACTACCTTACATCTTAATTTTGAAGCTGTTACATTATTTCATTTGACGGTATAATATATTAAAAAATAAAAGTGTTGGCAAAAGTATGTTAGTGCTGCAGTTTCCTAGCTGTGCTACCTATGACACATTGATTATCAGCAGCAGCCCTAGAGGTTGTGCTTGTCTCAGGCACTGTGCTAGGCACCTTATGGATACTGTTTTAATTTCTTTTAACAATATTAAAATACAGGAATTAGAATTTCCATTTTACATTGAAATAAAACTGAGGCTCAGAAATAAAGTCTGTCAAGATGCCCAAATGTGCCAGAGGCACAGAAGATGTTCAATGGCAGTTGCTTCTCACACAGTCTTCCTCCTCCCTCCCTCCACGGCTGCGTCAGACCTCCAGGGCAGGTCATTTTCATCTCTACACTCCTGATAGAAAACAGACTCCTAGAAGTTAAGTGATTTGCTAAGTTTAAAAAGTAGGTTAATGGCACAGTTAGCTCAAGTCTACCTCAGGGAAGAATGAACACAGATCTCCATGTGAGTATTGTTGGTACTTGTCAACGGTCATGAAACACTGGGTTGAATTCAGTGTTATTAATGAGTCCTAGAAAGTAAAAAAATATAATTTAGTTTGGACAGGGTTTAAAGTCTTCTAGAAGAACATTTTTTTTTTTTTGGGTAAAGCATTTACATACATTTAATATTGACATATTTTATTAAAGTAATATTTTAAAGATCCAAACAATGAAACCAAATTCATATATGGAACCTGAACCATTGTTATATGAGAATACAGGAATTATTTTTTCATTCAACCAGTAGCTATTAAGTACCTACTGTGTGCCAGGATTGATACTAACTGCTGGGATGCTGTGAATCTGACAGTTCTCTCTACTGTTAGAGAATTTGCAGTCTAGCTCATGTTTCCACTAATGTCCCATTAACTGGTCAATATGTATAAAAGGTGAGAAATATGACAAATGGTCCCTAGGTCTTTTAGCTAATGATTTGTGTGACTAAAATTACTCTGTTAACTAGAAGCAGTTCTCAAAACAGCAATTGTTCAGTTGAGATGTGCCAGCTTAAACTGTCTTGTTTTCCAGCTCTCAAAGGGTACCTGACACGTAGCACCCATCCTTACTCTCTGAATTCTGAAAAAATTAGAAAATGAAATAAAAGAGTGGCTGATGGAACATCAAATATCACCTTTATTACTGATAAGGTCTAAGCTGACAGACATGCTAAGTGTCTTTAACTGAACTCTAGAATTAGGCCAATCAACTACCTAATCATGAGCAAAGATGAGTCAGGGTGGGGGTCCTAGGGAGGCCTCTGTGGGCAGTTTCTTCCCTAGAAGGAGAAGGGTGAACTGAGTCAAGGACGCTCCGTTTTTCTTAGATTTAACAATTTGATAAATCCCTTCATCGCGTTGGAGAAGAGTGAGTAATGAAAGAGAGAGGCCAGGAATTAAACTAATAGAGCATCCTCCACAAGAACAAAACCTCAAGAGTGGGAACATCGCTGCCGCCATTGGTAGAAGTGTGTACTGAACACACGTGTGATGATGTCAGTTAAAATAACAAGCCACTAGAACAGGACAATAATCGAAGCTTTTACATTTAATGATGTTTTAATATACTGTTCACTGTAGGTACTAGAGATATTGTCAACATACTTATTCTCTCTATATAGATTATTTACTTTGTGGATTATCCATAACTTATTTTTAATTTCAAGTGATTTTTTTTCTCCTTTCTAACGCGTGATCACCTGATTAAAACGTCAGAGAAAAATAGCCTTGGCCCTGAAGTCATAAAACCTGGATTTGCATTTTTGTCCTGTTCCTAAGCTAGTTCTATACCTTCTCTGGATCTGCAGTCTTTTCGTTTCTTTTTCTTTCTTTTTTTTTTTTTTGGTGAGGAAGATTGGCCCTGAGCTAACATTTGTGCCAATCCTCCTCCGTTATGTAAGTGGGACCCCACCACAATATGGCTTGAGAAGCGGTATGTAGGTCGATGCCCAGGATCTGAACCCATGAACCTTGGGCCGCTAAAGCGGAGTGCGAGAACTTAACCACTATGCCATCGGGCAGGCTCCTAGATTTGTATTCTTAATTGTATAAAAATGCAAGGGTATGTCTCAATCCCAAAGGTCCTTCCCAACTCTCAAATTCTGGAATTATCTTTGGCCTCCTCCACTTAGGTCAATTGATACCCATCTAGGAAACCAAACCAATTGTAAATTTAGCCTCCTTCTCCTTCATTTAGCCTTCTCCTTCATCTTCTCCTGTAAATTTAGCTTTCTCCTTCATCAAAAAAATATGATCATGGGAGGTAAGAATGCTGATAACTACATCTCTTTCTTTGAACTTCTAGGGCATTTATAATTTACAGCACACAATTTTTAAGCTATTGTTATTCTAAATTATTTCTCTGCTTCCTCTCTTTCCAAATAACACCATACATGCTTTCATCATGCTGTTCTTACGAGCATAACCTGTAATATACTGTATAAGCCATACTACATTGTTCTGGCCCCTAGGAAGTATACAATTAACAGTGAACTTTCTCTCTGTTAAATCATTTAAGGATGTTTGTTTTGGAAGATTGCTGTTTTCAAGCTTGACTCTGACTCTTTGATTTTATTTCCATCTTTAACAAGCTTGTGTTCGAAATAAGAGTTCAATTACAGCACCAACATCGTTAAAGCTAGTAAAATCTGAAAGCTGAAGATGAAATTTTACATATTAATTCATGTTATTGACTCATTAATGTATTTCATGGTGTATTTTTATTGTTAGTATGTTATTATGTGTTCATATATGTGCATATATATATCTAAATGTGTGTATGTCTATGTATGTGTGCCTCTCTCTCTATCTATATGTATCTGAATCAGCTATATGTGTTTTCCCTGCTTAAAAGGATGTCAGTTTGAGAACTTACCAATTTAATGCCAGAAAAAGTTAATGTTACTTTAAAAAGTCAGTAATTTGGTCCTAAGGTGTTCACAATCAAACGTAGCATATGGTAAGTGTATCATAAGTTATGCACGTGTATTGATCTGGTGTCTTTTACAAGGTATGGTGTGGAGCCTCCTGGTTTGATAAAGTTGGAAAAAGAGATTGAACAAGAAGAAACACTTTCTGCCCCTTCTCCTTCACCTTCTCCTTCATCAAAATCTTCTGGAAAAAAAAGTACGGGCAACTTACTGGATGATGCAGTAAGTAAAACTGGTCTGACTTCTTACCAGCATTTAGTCTTTTTTGAATTTCAAAACTCATTCTGTACAATCTCTTATCAGTCTGACCTTTACCTATTTCAATTTCCTTGCAATTCATTTAAAAGTCCTATGAAAATGTTTGTAGTCCTACAGTTCATTTTGAGATTCAAAACTGAGCCAGTCATTTAAAATAGAGTGTCACTTAATTCTGCTGAGTAGCATCTAAAATTATAGGATAATGAATCAACTTCCTGAACATTGTCTTTGGAAACACTTAAGCCTTGTTGTTATGGGTTCGTGGTTCCTCATTTCACAGATAAGCAGCCTGGGGCATGAAGTCTTGAGGACTGTTACAGAGGGGAAGCAAGCCTACCACAGAGAAGAGAACTGCCCTTTGCCTCCATCACTGTTTTTCAAGTGTTCTTGTTATCTGTGAGGCAGGCTTCTTGTTGAGGAAACTGAACCTTAGAAGTTGAGTCACCTGCTGAGGGGAGGAGAGGAGCTTAGATTCCAACCTAGTTTTGTCTGACTCTCTGGGGTCCCCAACCCTCTACTTAGCAGAGTCCTTGAGACACAGTCTCGGGCAGATTAAGTAATATTTTCGTTATGCCCTCATAATCACAGAAAACAATTTCTGGGTGTAACAGCAAATAGGATGAATTAAAACTCTCTGGCTACCTCTGTTGTCTGTCAAGTAGTTCTTGGTTATAAGTAGCATGTTTGATTGTGTATATGCATTCACTTTCCTGCACGTATTTTTTTTTCTCCCTGAGGAAGGTTCTCCCTGAGCTAACATCTGTGCCAATCTTCCTCTATTTTGTATGTGGGTCACTGCCACAGCATGGCCACTGGTGAGTGGTGTAGGTCTGTCAAACCCAGGGTGCTGAAGTGGAAAGGGCCGAACTTAACCACTAGGCCGTGGGGCCAGCCCCCTGCACATATATTTTGAGTGTAAATGTAAAAAATGCTCATGCATTTTATAGAAAATGATAACCTCAGGGACATTAGACTGAAGTATGTCTCACATACACGGGGAGATCCTTAGAAAGCAAAACCAACCATAATGCCAGCTCTGTGAAACAGACAACACTGAAAATGACAGCCGGCCGCTACCTGAGAGGGTCCTTTTCTCTGGTCTGTGCTGAAGAGAGCTGGGAAAATGGCCAATTAACATTATAGAATGCAGAAAGAGAGATCCTCCTATCTTTTCCTTTCCTCCATATGACAGTATAACCTATATTGCTTAGATGAGCAGCAATGTAACAATTTCTCTGACAGATTGAGAATTCCCATTTCCGCTAAGGACAGCAAACTTCAACTTAGCCCGTTGAGGTATCTTAGCCAATAACAGTTTAATTTAGTTTTCTTTGTTCAGTCCACCCAGGAATTAAAGAATAGGCAGGGCATTTTAATATAATGCCACCGAAAAGGATTTTGTAATCACAGGACTGTTTTTAAGGATCAGTCACGTGCCTTGCTTGTCATAGTATTTTATTTTTATTTTGTAAGGAAATTTGAATAACATATCGTATTAGTAGTAGATAATGATGCATTTTTTATATATTGATGAGAACAGTGTTTGTTCTCTCTGAATTATATTTTTTGGTTCAACTTAATTGAAGATGTCCCTTTAGTCTTTCTCTCATAACTATGTTTCTCTGGGGCCGCTATGCTTGATATCAGACCATTTCCTCTCAGCTGTCACCTCCATTCACTTTCTTTAACTCTTTATAGTCAGCGTTATGTCCAACATTGCCCTTAACCTCCTAATGGATGAATTACTGAAGCAAATGAATTTTTTTAGTCCTCAAATTATGAGACCTTTCCGGCATTTGACCAGTCTGTTCTTGAAATTCCTCTCCATGAACATTATTGCTACCAGAACGATCAACCTAATTGCAACTCAGATTTGATTAAAATTATATGGGGGTTACCAATAACACCAAGGGTAAAGCTCAAACTCACTGAAATGTCGCATGAGCCCTCCGTGTTGGGGCCCAGTTCATCTTTCCCAGCCTTTTGCCTCTGGACTCCTTTTTGCATTGGGATGTATCCATCGTACACATGCCTGCTAACCTCAAGTTCCTAAGGACGTTTTACACCCTGTGTTTTTTTCTCACTTGCTTTTCTCCCCATACTTCTGCCTACTCATCTTTTAAATCTACTTTTAAACACCTTGTCATCTTTAAAATTCAGGTTGTATGGCCTTCTATGTAAAGCTTTTCTTGGCATCTCTCATCCCAGATAAAATCAACAAATTCATCTTTGTACCCCAAGAATTTTTATATATTTAATGAAGTATTTACGTTACTGGGCATCAATCCCCATCCTTCTCTGGGTGCAGTCCTTGTTTGCAAAGACGAGGACTGTATTTTATTAATCTGTATTCAGTGCCACACTTGTTGGATAAATGATCAATGTAATTAAAGTTTTAAAAAGCTTCTACTTTTTTATATTTATCTGGAATGGCCTTGTGCTCTGGAAATACATGCACTTTTCAACTCTGCTGTCGCTTTGCAGAGGGAGGGGATGTTGCCACTTGAAGCCGTTTACATGAACCTGGGAGAAGTAGCCAGAATGGTTCCCTTTCTTCACCAGTCTGTGTCATGTGTGGCCACCCCTCATCCTTGAGAAGGGGAGAAAATGACAGGAGGGAGAAGGGGGCAAAACAACTATGAAAGGAATTTTGGAAAAGTTTTACCCATACTCCAGCTCAGAATGGGATAGATACTCCCTTTAAAATGGCAGGACTGAGACTCTGTGGTTGTTCTCCTCTCTCCGAGTTCTGTTCTCTCAACTGGAAACAATGAAGGGGTTTTCTGAAAAGCTTAAATCCCCTTTAAAGTTTACCAAACAGAGTTTGGGAACATAATCATCTGTTTAGAAAGGGGTTTTAATTGAATGTAGGAAATGTGCAACGTGGATGTTTCTGTACTGTTGTCCGCTAGAATACTATGTTCTGAAAGTCTTTAAACCAGCATTTCTCAAAGAATGTTTAATCAACACTAACACCACCAGATGACCCACCGGGAAAAGAATTCTGTGGTTAGGTTCATTTGAGTAATATAGTTTACCGTAGTCCCACCTAGAGTTTGGCAATGCACTTTGGTATATCAAAGGCGCTAGTGAGTTCCATAATGAGATCTTGTTTAACGTGGAATTTTCCAAACTTGCTTGGCCGTGGAAGTCTCTCACAGTCTCCTTCATTCTATGTTGGGGAAATTGCATTGAAATATTTGAATTCTGTTTAAGTGATAGTTTTTCACTGAAGTGTTTTATTTCAGGGACAAGGAACAGAGGGAAAAATAATTTGAGCCTCACTAATGGTTTAAATCAGAGCTTCATCTGTCAAATATAAAAAGGAAATAGTTCCTATGGCAACTGCTTCACTGCATGTGAGGCATAGGTGGCCATTGGAGGTTGAAATTCGTGGACTTCATCAGGTGCTTTAGAATAGGATATAATAGGGATTGCCTGCAAAGTTCCTGTGTTTAGTTGCTAATATTGGCTATTTCTACTCGGGCAAAGTTATGATTTGCATCAAAAAAAAGAAAAGAAAAGAAGAAGGAGAATAAAGAGGAGGAGTAAAAGCAGGAAAAGGAAAAAATAGAGAAAAGAATAAAGAAAAAGGAAAAAGAAAGAAAGGAAGAGAAGCAGACCTGGGTTAAGATATCACATTCCAGTGACCAGTTTCAACAATAACTGCCAGTTTTGAAACTTTCAATGTTTTCTCACATTTCCTTGTTTGCTACTTAGGGGAATTGTGGGAAATTGAACAAAGAAATAGGTGACCCTTTATGGGGATAGTACATCCCACCTTCTTTGATCAAGATGTCACAAAAGGAACACAGTGGAGTCCATTCAGATTAATGTATTCTCCAGATGTCCTGATGGAGTGATTCAGCACAATAAAATGGCGGGTCGGGTTTAGCTCTCTTCTTCGCATTCCCTCCTGTTGAGCTGCTTCCCACACAATGAGTTGAATACAGTTCTAAGAAACCATTCTTACTTTCTTGCTCTTCTCCATCAACTTCCTCAGTCTGGGGCTGGGAGATAGTGTAGTTCTGAGTAATCAGGCTCCTCTTGAAATCCCATTTCAGCAGAAAACTGGCTGGGTTCCTGGCCTGAAACAGAACACCTGCCAGACTGACTTCTCTCGAGGTGATTCAAGAAGCACAGTTGTCGTCAGTCACTGTTGACTTAACAGTCTGTTTCCACGACCTGCAGTCTGGTCTTGTCTCTTCCACTTCTGCCTCCACCTCTCCCACTCTACAAAAAAGCCCTTGATTTTAAAAAACAAGTCCATTTTCAAAGGTAGGAAGGCATTAGAGGGCAGGCCACTTTAGAAAATGCATCTTGTATTTTCCTTCCTTTGATACCAACAGTTTCTGTGTTTCGTCTGAGAACACTTCAAGATGGAAATATTTTCCTACATACTTGTGCCTGTCATTTCTTAGCAGAGGAACCACTTGAACGCCAATTTACTCTTTGCTCAATTACCACACGGCGGTGAGGCTGTGCCAAGTGTGGCTCTCCTCAAGTTTGGGCCATGTGCTTTTATGATGCTGACTGTCTGATTTCCCTCTGGATGGCCAAAGTCCTTCTCCCTCCCTCTTTCCCTCTCTCCCTCCTTTCCTCCTTCCCTCCTTTCCTTCTTTCCTTCTTCTCTCATGGAAGCCCTTGTGGTGGTAAGGAAAACTGTACCACTTCTAGCAATGGTATAAATTAAACATAATTTATATATACATACATTTATATTTTTAAAACACTTTTATAAATACATATAGAAAGAGATATATGTAGAGGAACACTGAAACCAGCACACGTTTATTTGTCCTATGACCCCACCCCCACCCCAAAATGTGGTTCTGCGTTATGGAAGGAAAGATGCTACTGTTATCCAACATTTGTTCTTGTTCTCTTATCACTATCTTGTTCAAGACTATCCTTCACAAAATCCCTAGAGACTGACTCCTGTTAATACTGGGGGAGTGGGTGGATTTATCTATGGACCAAGTATTGTATGGTAGGATAAATTCAGAACTCAAAGACATGGGCCTAATCCCTAACTTAATGACATTAGGCAGTTCCTTCATTTTTCCATGAAAGTTGTCACTAAGATTCTTTGAATCTTAATCTGTTGCACTGATTTCCCCCTGTGTCCTATATAGGTTCATGTTCTTATTTATCCATTCATTTATTTATTCAATGTGCATTTATTAAACACACATTACATGCCATTAAGGCATTATGCTTTATTTCAAGGATTTAAAACTATCTTAATGAAATACTATCTTAACCCTTAAGTAACTCACAATCTAGCAAAGAGACGTTAAGGTTAACCAATAACTGAGATATAATTTGCTACGATAAAAATAAATACCAAGAACTGTAGGTTTATATGTTGGGAGAATTAGGGATTCTAGAAGGGACTGATGAAAATATGTATCCTGATGTTGGTTCTCTTTCCCCCAGCAATAGTGTTGGTTCTTCTTTGTAGGTCTTCACTGAGGCGTAATTGTATAGTTCTTAAGTTTTGCTTCAGGATTCCTGCACCCTTTCTAGCTTTCCCTGTGGTGTCTCATGCTTCCATACCTTTTGGAACCCCTCTTATTCTAGTGAAACCAAGCTGTGTAAGCCCTTTACACCAACATGTGAGTTCATGTGTTACTCTTCCCATAGATTTGCCTAGTAGAAGGCTGACTGAAGTCAGACATTGAATTATTTGAGGGAATGACTGAATTTCTTTGATGACAAAATTCTAGGAACCATATCTTTGTGGAATAAAGAATTTGAGTGAGCAGAGTTCAAGCTCATTCCTTCAGAATCTAAATTTACTCTATCAAGCTTCTCAAATACAAGTTGCGCATTGTTTAGATCTTTCTTCCATGGAAACTTTGACTCAAAACACAGGAAATTATTGTTTTGGGTTGTATGGTTGATTGGTTAGTTGAAGAGAGGACAGTTATGAGACACCACATGGCAGGTTCCCAATGAGGAAAATACAAATATAAACCTATTCCTAAAGTCCTAAAATCATGGACTATATATTTTTTTCTAATGGTCACAACTATTTATAAACATTGTTAGCGTATCATTCAGATTAAGTATTTGTTAAAGAGTAGGGACATAGATAAAATAGAGATAAAATCTGATATTCAGACATGGATTCTACAAAAATCATGTAGATTGTAAGATACTGCCACAGAAGTAGGTTTTGGTAGGTGGGAATTACTGAGATGGAGTGAATTGCTGGGTGAGTCTGGGTGAATTAGAGATGACTTCTTAAAGTCTTAGAGTTTAAAATAAGATGAAACAATAGTTTCATTAAAAAAATAATTTGTTTATTTCTCATTTATTTAGAAAATGGGTAAAATTAATATAATTAAAATTATAATGAGGAAACATATATCCTATGTTAACATATGTTCTATTCTAGTTTTCAATATATTTATCTTGGCAAGCTAATGTACATGATCTTTTTAATCCTCCAAAAATGAGAACCCAGCTCATCATTCCTGTACTGCCAGATGACTTGATTGTCATTATCCTGCAGCATCATTCACATTGTCATCACCCAGCTTGTGTCTTATGCAGTTTTTGGCCTTCAGTAGATACCTTCAGGGCCTGACCTTGACGTCGTTAGGATTTAATGTGATAGTTCTGTGCTCACATCATGTCCAGAGTCTGATATAGAACAAATTTAAAAACATTAATGGTCCAGGGGCCTTTGAACTCAGGGAACAAATTAATCTAAATGGGACCTAATTAAGGAGAATGACCTTCCCTGCTCTTCTATTTCAGGTGAAACGGATTTCTGAAGATCCTCCTTGCAAATGCCCAAACAAATTCTGTGTGGAGAGGCTCTCTCAAGGAAGATACCGAGTGGGAGAAAAGATCCTCTTCATTAGGGTAAAGTTTTACTTTTCACTTGATATCTTGTCCTGTATGAGAATATTAAGGCCTTGCGTTGGAGATTGTGGGGGAAACATGACCAGTAACTAAGCAAGAACTTCCCTTGTGGTGCTTACAGTTGGATCTGAAGATACAAGGTATGGACATTTTTTAGTGTATCATGTGTAAACAGTACGAGGGCTAAATAAATAGAACTGTCTTTCTCTTTTTACATATACACAAACACCTGCACCAAGCAGATGATAGAGATCAAATAAAATGAGGAAAAGAAAAAAAACCAAATTCCTTTTTTGTTGATACATTTAGTTTCACAGAAACTTGTCCCCTCCTGATGGGACATAGAGACAGTATTGTGCCCTGGTCTTCCATATCTCAAGTTTGGGAAATGATCATTCTGTTGGTCCTGGTAACTTTCAAATGATTCAAACATGATTTTTCAAGAAGTTTGGGTTATGAACCAGAGTGAGGAAAATGACAGCTCGTTACAATAGCATGGGTAAATGGTGACTGCCATTTCTCACTTAGTTTTCTGGGTTAGAATACAGAAATGTGGGCCTGTGCCAATGAAGGATTTGGTCGTCTCTATCCATTTTACAGTCATCCTAATTAGAAATCTGACTAGTGGGGCCGGCCCTGTGGCTTAGCAGTTAAGTGCGCTCCGCTATTGGCGGCCCGGGTTCGGTCCTGGGCGCACACCGACACACCGCTTGTCCGACCATGCTGAGGCGGCGTCCCACATACAGCAACTAGAAGGATGTGCAACTATGACATACAGCTATCTACTGGGGCTTTGGGGAGAAAAAAGGAGGAGGATTGGCAATAGATGTTAGCTCAGGGCTGGTCTTCCTCAACAAAAAGAGGAGGATTGGCATGGATGTTAGCTCAGGGCTGATCTTCCTCACAAAAAAAAAAAACAAAAAAAAGAAATCTGACTAGATATCGTGAACAGTGTTAGATTGTATTAATGGCTCAATGAAGTGACATTTCAGACCTTCACTTGTGATCTGTTTTGTTAATAATCAAGAGAATTTAATCTCTCAAAATAAGTTTGTGATTTTTCCTAAAACCAAGAATTCTTCTTTTCAGAAATAAGAAAATGAAAAAAATAGCACTGATATATTCCTAGAAATTTGCAATTAATAAATGTTTTTCTACCTTATTTTTTCAGTCATTTCCTGAAAGAATAGAGGTTTTGATTCATTGGAGCTATATTCTCTTCTCATTTGAATAAGTTAAACATATCTTGCTTGTTATTTTATTTTGTAGAGCAGAATGATTTGAATGTGTACATCTAGTATAATCAATGAATATTCTTAACAATACTCAAATCAGGGATGGCCCAGTAGAAATTTTGTGAGTGTAAAATTTTCTTAGTTTCAACTTTTGACTGAAACATTTATATGACAATTTAAGGCTCTGCAACATGTTATTTGAAGAAAAATTTGATCGTAATTAGCCTTCAAAAATAATGCCATTCATTTTGTATTTTAATCTAATTGTAGGTCAATGTTTAATGATTAAAAAAAATTTACAGGTGAGGATTGCTATTTTGCTTTGGAATGGCAAGGAAAGGGATATAACGAAATGTTATTATTAGGCGTTTGAGACCAAATCTGGGAGAATGGCCTCACTAGGACAGACAGTTGCCCCAGTCGTTGCTTATTGTTCTCTTGTTTTTTATTGCAAGGATAACATACACGTGTATTTTAGCCAAGCTGCTTGCTTTTGCTTTAGTACATAAAAAATAGTGATTATTATCTTCACAGATGTGTTTAAATTTTACCAGGTTGACCTTTCGAAGTTGAGAATGAGGCTCCTTTAGAATATTAGGCCAGAGAGCCTAGAATCAAAACATAGGGTTTCATTTATTTAAACGATTATTCCTTTTTATAATAGAGGTGTTGATAAAACACATGATTAATAAATTAGATACTTTTCCCTCTAATGTAACCTAATATTTCTAGGCAAAAATATACATTACATATGTTTATTTGTGTCTGGTCTTCCATATTTAGTCAATTGTCAAAGAATTTGATAACTATATTTATGAATAACATAAATTTATATGGTATTTGACATTTAAGATAGTCTTTGATCTTCCATTTTTCTTTTCAGAAAATGGTTTCCTTTTGGTGAAATCTATCCGTGTATTGTTTATAGATGAATTGAGGTTTGCTTTACTGCAAAAAATTGCATCAAATTCCTTAGTGATAGCATTTGAATTTAATACCATTAATATAGCACAACATGTTGTGCACATTCAGTGTCTTCTAATGCTCCAGGTAAGCCTACAGTAGGAGAGAGAACTGTGGTGTGGTCATTTGCTGAGTGGCCCAGCAAGTTAGGGCATCATGCTGCTATGACAGGTGTCTCAGGACAGCGTTTTAATTAATTTGAGTCATTCACTTTTTTAATTTCTGCACTGTCCACATATAATTTGTACTACTTTTAAAAACAGACTTCATTTTAAAATTGACCCATTTTTGCAAATCTTAATTTTTTTCAAAGGAAATTTTCTATCACTGCCTAAATTGGAAACTAAAAGTATTTGTCAAAAAAGGAGAATATCCGTTAATATATATTTCTTGACATTCTTGTCCTTTGGCTTGCCAGGGGTCCATTTCCACCCTGATGGTGTAGTGATTCTCAAAGGCTCCTCTCCTTGTCTCTGGTTATCCCTAACAGCTTTTTACCTTCCGTTTCCTTGAGTTTCAGGAATTGAAAATTCATGTGCAGGTCATATGCACCTTTCATTGCACATTTTCTCCCTATTTCCTCCTCTGCATAGAATTTGTTGTTAGTGCCGTTGAGTGGATTCGGACCCCTAGCAACCCTTTGCACAGAGTCCTTGCCCGGGCCTTTTGTACCATCCTCTCACCTTCCGGCACTCGGTCAGACAATGTTCTGCTGCTATTCACAGGGTTTTCATGGCCAATTTTTTCAGAAGTGGGTGGCCAGGTCCTTCTTCCTAGTCTGTCTTGTTCTGGAAGCTCTGCTGAAATCGGTCCACCATGGGTGATCCTGCTGGTATTGGAGATACTAGTGGCATAGCTTTCAGCATCACAGCAACACACAGCCACCACAGTGTGACAACCCAGAGACTGGTGGTGTGGTTCTCTGACCTGGAAATGACCCTGGGCCAAGGCAGAGCGCTGGATCTTGTTAACCACTAGACCACCAGGAGCCCTACATTGAATGGATGAACTAAAAATGTCTCATTATATGTACACACTTTGGTAATTTTGATTTGTGGCAGGCACTATATTTAATTGAGTGTCATTCTGCACTGACTCGTTGTAAGGAACTGGCAGTTATTACTCAAAAAAACTCAGAGGTATTGGTTTTTAAATGATCATATGATTGTTGCTGCTAATATCTTAGCTTTGTTTCTTTGAACACCTGGATTAAGCAATAAGTGCCCATAGTCAGATTCTCAAACACACCAGGGGAATGATCGACTCCCAGTGTCTGCATTGCAGTTCTGGGTTGAAGTTTGCATTTTAACATTGGCATATTTTAAACTTTGTTGTATCTTTTTTTTTTGGCTGAGGAAGATTGGCCCTGAGCTAACATCTATGCCAATCTTCCTTTATTTTTTATGTGGGACGCCACCACAGCATGGCTTGATGAACAGTGTGTAGGTCTGTGTCCAGGATCTGAACCCGTGAACCCCGGGCCGCCAAAGCAGAGCACATGAACTTTACCACTATGCCACCAAGCTGGCCCCTGTCATATCTTTTTTGAGGCTGCCAAATATGGTCTTATTTTCTACATAATACATAATAAGTAGATGCATTTATGCATGTTATTCTATAAAATATACAGACAATGAAATATACATGGTGTCTTAGCATTTATCTCCTAGTTCTTTCCATCCTGAGAGCAGCAGTGTTTTTATATGGCCATAATGAACCTGTCCATGCAAAGAACAATTTAGGGTCAATTAAGACTGTTAAGAGTGTTGACTTAGCTCTTACTTAAAGGTAACAGAATTACCAAAACACTGACTCAGAAGAAACTGTCCCTTAGAAAGTCATAAATACAAGATTCTCTTAATAAGTCTGTAGCTAACACATTTACTCTTGATTTGCTCTTCTCAACGTGAGCCAGAGTTAACAATTTTATTGCTAACCAAATTCCAAGGTTTATTAACAACACCCAATCACTTTACTTATGTATAGTTTTATGATTATTATGTCTATGAACACATCTTCTCTTTATACATTCAAACAGACACAATAAAAAAACAAATAAGAATGAAAGCTCTAAGAATGTGTGCAGATTACAGACAAAGAGCGCTGCAGAGGATATCTTTGCTATGCACATGTCTTATCTGTGGGTTTCTAGAAACCAACATATGGATAGATACTTTGCGCACATGACTATCTAATGTGCACTTATGTAGATGCATCTCGATGCTTATGTAGGCATCTTTGTTTATTTGCATATGTCTCCATTTAAAGGGGAGGGATTAATCTCTACCCAAATATAAAGAATTCTTTAGTACAAGGGAGAACCTCTGAGGTGTTTGACTGTGACTTTTAGGCAAACGTGCTAATAATCCCCTGCCAAGATGGGAATTCTCTTGTTTCTAGTTTATCAAAAATAATTTTTCAAACCCAGATTTTTGCCCTACTCCTTCCACTGAGCAACATTGTTTTTGAACTCTCTGGTGGACAAGCAAGCTAAATGCAGCTAATTTGTATCTGCGGAGTGCTCCCCTCCAAGGTGTAAATATTTCAGTTATTTTTCAGTGACTTTTGAATTTGGACAGTGATGATAAAAGCTCCTTGCTGATTTCTGTGGTAACACAGATGGGATATTACCATGTAGCCATGCTATGTATCTTTCAAATGTAAAGGGATGGATCTCAGGCCTAACGTTATGGTTTTGAGGAGGAGAGAAGTAAGACTTTTCCTTTGTTCTTTTGTTCATTCAGTTAATTGGTATCTACCCAGGCTTCAAGTGCCAAGAAGTCAGTTGGCCACATAAATCTG